AACTTCTCCAGGCTCTCAGTATTTTACCTCTAGGGACTTTTGTTAGTAACAAAATGCACTTATTTTCAAATGATAGGTGAGAAAGTGACAATGCAATGTACACTAACTCTTCTAATGGAGAAAGAAGGAAGGAAATGGAAGGGACTACAACTGCTGCCTAGGTTAGAGGATACTCTGGACCTTACCCAACAAACTTTAAACCTAGAAAATACTACAACGAATGGACTCCAGACTGGTGAAAACGTCTGAGAGGTCTCTAAAGCCTTCACAAAAGGCATATTTAGTGCACACACATGCCCAGAGTTAACCACCTAGAATTTCAGGGCTCCATGATATACCTATATTGATCTCAGTCCAACTCTACAGTAATTACGGTTCTGAAGTGGTGATGCATAAAAATAAAGACAAAGATACACACAAAACAATCTGATCTATTGTGGTGTTAATTTTGTAGATAATTTTCTTTCTTGATTTTTTATTTCTAATGTTATTAACAATAATAGATTAGCAATATTAATATTATTTAATAAAAACTATCTAAACCTCAGTAAGGTGTCTATTTCAAAAAAGTTTTTGTGGAACCTAAGCAAAATCATTTTTATAATGAGAATAAAAACACAGGAGTCCCTATTATATGATAATTCAATTGCAACATTGTTTCTGATATTAAAAAAACGGGAAGAACCATAAATATCTGTCAACAGTGCATAAACAGCATATCCACAAAATGAAACACCATGCAGCTGTTTAGAAACAAAACAATCGCAGAAACTCTCAGAGTGCTAATGAGGGAAAGTCTCCAATAAATATTAAGTTGGGGGGGAGCACAATGTATATGGCAAGCTAGTATTTGTGTAAAAAAGGAGACAAATACATCTAATCTGTTTTTTAAAAGGTAAACAGTATTTAGAATAATACATAAAAACTGGCAAAACTGGTTGCCTTCAAAGAGAGAAAATGGGCTCCTTTGGGACAGGAAAGAGGGAGAGTGGTATCTTTTGTAGTCTTTGAATTCTGAACCAGGTTGCTATTACCCAGGCAAAGAGTAAATTTTCCAAAGTTAAATCAACAAACCCCTAGTGACTCTTAGAAAGCTATCAAAAAATTATTCTGTATACATATTTATTTAGGAATTATTCTGTTTACTGATTTATTGAATTTATTGGGGGTGACATAGGTTAATAAAATTACATAGGTTTCAGGTATACAATTCTATAATAAGTATCTGTATATTATGTTGTGTTTACCACCCCAAGTGCATGAATTATTCTCTATGTATGTATCTCCATATAAGAAACCCTGATGCATCAAATTCTGTTACACTGGGTTCAATTTTCAACAACCTGTATCGATCTACCTCCGGAATGTTTGAGAAACCCTTCGGTTTCTCAGGTGAGTACCTTTCAAATAACATTGTCTATGGGGAAAAATAACATTGTTTTAAGCTTGTAAAAGTCTTTTTTCTCCCTGAGCCCATGTTTTCTATCTGTAAAACAAGGGCATAAGCATTTTACCAACCTAAGAGCAATTAATAATACTAACAGAAAAGAGATAAAACAGTTGTGCTGGTAAAGGCAGGAGTAAGGAGCATATGCTTCAAAGTTCCCCCTCCTCCAGCTACTAAAGTACATCAGAGAAAGACCAGGGTTCTCAAAACTCAAGTAACCACAATACCAATATTTAACATTTACTGAATAATTTCTGTATGTTACACAGTGTTCAAAGTGCTTTATTGGGATTAACTCATTTTATCTTCACAATAATTCTATGATGTAGGTAATATAATCTCTAATTTACGGACAAGAGTGGAAAGTATGGTAAAAGAGTTAAAAGCATGAACTTTCCAAACTAACCGCTGGGATTTGAAACCTGGCTCTCCTACTTAATAGGTGTGTAACCTTGAGCAAGATGCTTAAACTTTGTGTGTCTGTTTCCTCATTTCTAAATTGGAAATAATGGTAACATCTAGAGCATGAATTTAAAATCTTGGTACACCAACAAAAATTTCAGTTCTTCCCTTATTAAACAGAAAATTATGCACAGACTCTTATGCTATATTACATTTACCCATAACTTGTCACATGTAAAGTCAATCCTGGTGATAAAGTTTTATCTTTAAAAATTTCTTTTAACATTAGAAACCTTATTTTAAAAGTTTTTATTGAAGAGTTTTCTCTATGTATCCACAATGCATTTAGACAACATTCTAGCAAGGAAGCAGCATGAAATAAATGTTTAATTGCTTCTATTCTAATGGGAAAGTCCGAGAGCAGCTTTGCTAAGACTGCTGCTGGACAGCAATATCACATAGCCCAGCTGTCCGCTTGAGGACTAGTAGAGCAATAGGGACATACAGGCAGCCCTTGGAGATACTGCAGGTTTGGTTCCAGACTACCATAATAAAGTGAGTGTTGGCAATAAAGCGAGTTGTAATGATGCTGCCTTCCATTTCTAAAAAATGCAACCCCTGTAAAGTGCAATAAGGTGAAGCACAATAAAGTGGAGCATAATAAAACGAGGTATGTCTGTACTGGAAATCTTGGCAGCTTTGCTGAGTGCCTATAATTTTGCTTAAAGAAAAAATTTCAGTTAAACCACACTCCCATTTAAATTAAAGCACAAACCAGAATCCGAAGCAGAGTCCTTTGGAGGTTAGTCATAATTTGTCTCCCTTTTTTGTAATAGTTTCCTGTTCTGCTGCAACAAACTACTACAAACTTATTGGCAAAAAACAGCACAAAATTTGTCATCTTAGAGTTGTACGGTTTAGAAGTCCAAAATCGAAGTGTCTGCAGGGTTGTATTCTTCCCCGGGGCTCTAGTAGGTAATTTTTTATTTTTATTTTTAATTTTTCAATTTTTAGAGGCTGCTTTCCCATCTTTAATGCCTGCAAATAGCTGGCTGTCAAGTCTGTCATATTGCACCACTTTGACACTTGTCTCCCTCTTCCATCTTTTAAGAACTCTTGTAATTACAGCAGATCTATTAGACAATCCAAGATAATCTCCCTGTTTTAAGGTTAGCTGATTATCAAACTCAATTTCATCTGTATCCTTAATTCCCTCTTATATGATATACTGCACAGGTTCCAGGGATTAGGATTGGACATTTTTGGAGGAACCATTATTTTGTCTTCCACATCTCCCTTGATTCAAATAATTCAGCGTTCATTAGTTAAATAAGGCCATTTCATCAAGAACCTCGTATGTTTTGGTCTTTGGTAGGCACTGGGACATACACAAAAGAACTGAGTACCATCTTATTTGCCTATACTTATCTGACAATTAATTAATCAGTGCAGTGATTAAGAGCTAAGTGAAGGCAGAGACCATAAATAACTCCTTTTAAATACTAGTATACTGGAATTCCATTAAAAATGTATTTTTCTTTGTAGCATATACAATCATGCTGTTGATGAAAAAATACAATGAAGGCAATGTGAAACAATTTAGGCTTTTAAGAAACAAACTAAAGTCTAAAGATAAGTCACTGAACTTCTCTAAGCCTCAGGCTTCTCATCTGTAAAATGGGGATAAGGTGATCTATCTCAAAGTGTTGTTAACTATATGGATTAAAGTGCAACACATATTCTCCTGGCATGGTATTGCACAAATGTCAATTCTCTTTCCCTTTTCATATTTAAAGTATCTAACATTCATTTCAACATTTCCATGACTAGTTGTGCACCAGACTATAAACGAACATAAAAGAAATGTTAGCTATAGTCCCTGGCCTCATTAAAAACGTGTTGGTAGGGTAACACACTTGCATGTATAACACAATTAAAGAAAGACCAAAGTATAAAACTAAATGGGCACCATGAAAGAATTGGAACTTAAGAAATGGTTAAGAAAACAAATACATAGGTAATTAAAACTGATTTCTTCTTTTTTAAAAGAATTTATTATTTTTAGAGAGGAAGGGAAGGAAACAGGAGGAGAGAAACATAAATGTGTGGTTGCCTCCCGATCACCCCTCGCTGGGGACGTGGCCCACAACCCAGGTATGTGCCCTGACTGGGAATCCAACCGGCGACCATTGGGTTCGCAGGTCGGCGCTCAATCCAATGAGCCACACCAGCCACAGCTGATTTCTTCTTTACCTTAAAACAAAGGAAGCAAACAAAACCTGATCCATACATTGAAATATGGTAAGGGGGAACTTTAGGAGTGTCTACTTTAACTTTAGAGCTTGACTAGGCCTTTCAGATGAATCGACTATAGACATTTTCAAATTATTCTCTGGATCCCTAGAAGTCCACAGACGTTCAAGTAAAGGGAAACCCACGCAGATCCCATCCCTAATTTATTCTGCTTTGCCCTTTGGGTGAAACTAAAACTACTAGATTAGATAAACTTTGAGATTATCTGTGTATTTTAATAGTCCATAGTTCTCCTAAATTTTATCATTAAAAAAGTAAATGTTCGTGCATTGTTTTGAGAAACAAGTATCAGTAGCCACAGAAATCTGATAGGCCTAGTTTTGCACTGCTCTATCAACGATTTGGGAGAATAGGACACAAACCACCAATTACACCCACAAACCTTATCAACATCACGATAACGTAATACTCTGCCCTTTCCCTGCGCCTAGAAGCTAATTCTACTTTACATATATTGTTATCTAATATGCAACTAAAAAAAAAAAAAAACTTTCTGAAGGACATAAAAGACAGGGAAGATCGAGTCCAGAACTAAACTAGAAATAGATGGTTCTTTATCCTTTAACATCAGGTTGAAAATGCATCATCCATCCATGAGGAATGAGTAGTGCACAAAAACAACGCGTACAGACAGTGACGTGGAATTCGAGAAATTTAACCTAGGTTAAAAAAAAGAAAAAAAGAAAAATACCACTGCGCCGGCTTTTCCCTGGGTCCCAAGTCCGCAAGCCTGAGCCCGAAGAGAAGCCCTCGAGGAGGGTCGTCGGCCCAACTTAGCCTCTCTTCCTGCATCCTGGAAGTGCGGAGTCCCGTTCCCTGCCCCTGTGCCCGTTCTTACCCTCACCGAGAGTCGCGGACCTGTCCTCCTTAAACAGCAGACACTGGCTGGCTCTACAGATCACGTCCCGTAAACGAGGAGCAACCTCGGTTTCACCAGGAAAGTACTCAATGCGCAGCCGCCGCGGCCTCCAACCACCGCCCAGCGGAGGGGCGCCAAGCCTCCCCGAACCCGTTCACCGCGGCCGGGAGGCGGAGAGGAGAAGTGAGCTGGGCCGCCGCGCAGTCGTGGCCAGTGAGGTAAGTAGTCATAGGTCTCTGTCCTCCACTCCGATAGTTCCAGTCATAACGGCCTGCTCTGTCCGCTTTGCCCGTCCCTTTCTCCCCCGCTGCTGCAGCCGACAAAATGGAACAGGCCCGCGGGGGGATTGTGGGAGGCGCACGCGCGAGGGGTGGAGGGAATGTGGGGGGGGGGCCGGAGGAGGAGGAGGAGGCGGTGGAGGCCGTGGCGGCTGTTGGTGGCTGTGGGGGCGGGGAAGGGGGGGAGGAAAGAAGAGGAGGTGGTGGAGGAGGAGGAGGAGGAGGAGGCTTGGGCTCCAGCCGCTGGAGGTACGCGTGAGGGTCGGTGCTAGAGCCGGCTTGACAGAGGCCGAGGGGAAACGGGGTACTGCGAGAGGAGGCGCCCCTGAGAGAGCGCGTACGGGCTGGCGGGCGCGCTAGGCGGCCAAAGGCGGTGGTTGGTGGGAGCAGCGAGCAAAGAGCCGGGCTACATACACACTCTGGCGCGTGTGGGCGGGCGTGCGCGCTTCGCCCAAGTCGGGTGAGGGGGGGAGAACGAGGGGGAGAAGACGAAGAGGGAGGAGTGGGAGGTGGGGGGGCACGAGGCGCCCTTCGCTCCCTCCCTCCGGAGGAGCTGCCGCCGCCGCCGCCGCTCTGCCGCCGCCGCTCCGCCGCCATTTTGGGTTCGCTTTGCGGAGGGGGAGACGATCCCCGTCTCGGTTGCGGGACTCATCTCCCTTCAGTTTTCCCAGCTTAGTCCCACGTCTTTCCCTTCTCCTCTCTCGCTTTCCGCCAGTCCGCTTACCCGCCGGCTGCCTCTTGACAAGCGGGAGCGATCCGCTGTGGACCAAGGGAAGCAGAGGAGCCTGGTGGCGGCCGTCCCCTCTTCCCCACTTCCCTGCACTCTCATCTCTCTCGGCCTCGGCCTCTGACAGGGTGAGTAGAACGGCCTTGGGAGGCCTTTGGGCCTAAGTACTTCCTTAGCTACTCAATCCTTCGCTTCCTGGGCGCTCCTGTCATCTCCCGGACCTGTACCTCCGGGACATTGGTGGTAAGGATGGGGGAGGGGAGAGTAAGGAAGGGGATCCTGAGCTAACCGGGAAGTCCCTCCTGGCGGGGGTGAAGGGGTGTCCCTGACTGGCGGGCTCCGTGCTTGGGGGAGAGGGGCGGGAAAGTAAGCGAGTGGAGGCGGAGTCGGCTATGTCCCTGACAGGTTTAGTTTGTGTGTTGTGGAGGCAGGATTGGAGCATCCCCCAAGGTCCAGTTTGTGTCTGTCAGAGGGGTAAGAGTGGCAGGAGAGGGGATCTTCTGAGGGTAGTTTACCTGTATGATTAGGACTGTGGTGTCCCTGACGCGCTGAAGTATATGTAGGAGCTACAGGATGGTCTCTGTGTTGTAAGTTCAATAAATGTTACTGATTAGTTTGTACATAGAAAGACATATTTTTGGTCTAGAAGACAGATGGTCTGTTGGTGTATAGAGGTGGTTTGGGTGTGTATGTAAGGAAGGAAAGTGTTCCGGAAGAGTTTGCTTGTATTCGTCTACGGGTAATGGAGTTCCCTTCATAAGTTAGCTTATTTTTAAAATAAAACTTGAGATGTTCCCTGCTGGTTGATGTGTGTGTGTGTTGTAGGGTTCGGAAGTGCCTTATTGCTTGTTGGGAAAGAGCAGTCATGGCAGTAGTATTTCAGACATGCTATGTAGTAAGGATATATGTGTGGGGTCAGGGATGAGAGAAACTTGTCATAGTCAGTTGTGGTCTTAAGAATAGTTTGTTCCCTTGAGTAGGGTGAATTGTGTAAATGTGAAGCCTCAGGCCATCTTTAACAATAATTATTGTGAAGGGACAAAGAATGCTTGGCCTTTTGTGGACCTGAGTTTATATTAACACCTTACAATAGAATAAAGCATTTGTACTTTTCATGCTGTACTTTCAGTTTCTTTGTGATCCTAAATCCTTTTGAAAGTGGTAGATGTTTTCTCCCATTTTACAAAATAGGAAATTGATGCATAAGGATAATTTTTCCAAGGTCACATGTTAAAGTGGGGACAAAGTTTGGACTGTAACTCAGATATTTTGACCACTAGTTCAGTAGTGTACTCACCATACAGTGGAACCTCAGGAGGTCTTTATCAGGCAAATCTGAGTTTATTGGAAAGACGGGCATATGTGACTGGTTGGATAATGTACTTGGTACAGATTAGTTGTGTCAGACATGTATACAAAATGTAGGTTGTCCTGTATGAGAACGTGTATCCTTGATTATATTATTTTTTGTTTATGGAGGAAACAGAGCATTTCTGACACTTAAGCTTGCTTGTGTTTTTGAGAAAGGATGTCTTTTATAGCTTTTACCAGAGAACTGCATGGGGGTTGACAGCTTAACTTCATTTCTGTGGGAGGAAGGACCTTCTTTCATTCATTCATTTAATGAGTACTTATTGAATAACTACTTGATAAATGTTCCTTCCTTGGGCTGAGAATAATCAAGGTGACCCTGTTGAAATAGCCTGGGTGCATATGAAGGGGGACTTGTCTTGACAGTGATACGCATTAACTTGAGCAAGACAGAAAAGTCAGTGTGCAGCAGAAACTAGAAAACCTTTCTAAAAAGTCTCTTTAGTTTGGAGGGGATTTATTTAGATCTTCCAGACATATTATTTTTATTTTAAAAAAATCCTCAACCAAGAATACATTTACTGATTTTTAGAGAGAGGGGTAATGGGAGAGAAACAGACAGACATACAGACAGATATTGTGATGTGAGAGAGAAACATCAACTTGTTGCCTTTGTAGGCATGTGCCCTGACCAGTACTCCAACGGCAACCTTTTGGTATATGGGATGATGTACCAACCAACTGAACTGTGTGGCCAGGACAAGATATTCCAGACATTTTAATATGGAAGGATATAGCTGTATTTAAAAATCTAACAGGGTTACCAGTTTGTGATAGGGTGTGCCTTCTTTTGCCCCTCCGCCCCGCCTCTTTTTTTTTTTTTTTTTTTTTTTGAGTTTATGAGTAACTTTTTGGGATCTGGGTGGGATCCCAAAAATCTGGCTAGGCTGAAGGAATTCTTTGAAAGACTAATTTTATAGTAAGGATACCCTCTGTAAATATGAAGGAAGAATACTTGAACAAAGCTAATTTACTTTATTTTTCTGGAAAATGTTATGTTTTTGGTTTGTTAGTGGTTCTGAAAGTTTTTTGGGACACCTACCCTGAGAATCAGGTGAAAGACCCTTGCTGTAGAAAATGAGCATGAGCACAATCACACAAATTATTGCATACAATTTCAGGAACTTAAATTGTAATGAAGTAGAACCAGTTTATATTCAGATCTCATTAGAAAGCTTTTTTTCTTTTTTTGCAGTTTTATATAGTTTGGTGGTGGAGATGCTTGTATGAACTTAAGATGAAAGATTCTGTGACAGCATTTGAGCATGCTGACAGTAGAGAACTTGAAGATTAATTTTTTAAATTATTTTTATTTGAGTACCTATTTTTGCAGTGTTGGTATGTGATTCTGAATTAGGTGATAAGAGAATATAATGTAATACAAGTGTTTATAGCTTTATTCTTTTTAAATTATGTTTTTATTCTCAAACTTCTTTCTTTCCAGTTTTGTGTTGGGACTGAGGTGTTTTGAAGCTCATTTCTTAGAGTTATCTTAGTTGTAACAAACAGTGAGTTAGTTCTTTTCAGGGGACACAGATGGATACTATGTGGTCTCTGCCCTTGAAGAGATTCTAATCCAATTGAAGCTATTAATTGTGTGATGGTAAGGGCTTTCAAAAGGTCAATGAGGAAGAAAGCATATTCCTGGAAGTTAAGACTTTTTCGTGACTTAGTTGCAGAGTTTTTGCCACTGTTTATTCTTAGGATGCTATAAAGTCTTTATACACTATATGAAACTTTGTAGCTAAAAAATATGCTTTGTATCAAATAACTTATTGATGTTTTTGGATTAAGGAACTCTGGTTTGAAAAGGAAGCAGACATAGGTTGCATTTCTTACCTTGCTTTGGATATTTTTCTGTAGTATCATAAGTTTATGTAAAAAAAGGTCTTAATGTTTTTGGATATACATGCATCTAGAAAACACTAGATGACAGACTACCCATGAATCTACTACTGGAAATTAAAAATAATTACTGCATTTTTAAAAGAAGAAGAAATTCAGAAAGGTGTTTTGATAGGACATATTACAGGATTCAGCAAGGTAATAATGGAGAGATCTTAAGAAAAGTGGTCTGATTGCCTTCTCTGTGTAAGAATGTCATGTAAATTTGTGAAAAGTTTAATATTTTCTCCAATTTTTAACCTGGGTAGTTGGTTTGTGATATTTTTTTTTTTTTATTAATTTATTTACTTTTTAAATACATTTGTCTCTGGGTTTGTGATATTTTTAAAACATGTCATATATGTGTGTCGTGTGTGTGCATTAGAGATACATGTATATAGTCTCTTGTATGTATGAGATACTTCACAAAAACAGTGCTTGTGATAATCACGAAAAATTATTCAGGATTTTTTAAGGATCAAGAATAGAAAGCAATTTTTATTTCCTATTTTTGAGTTGTATTCTAAAATACAGAACATAACTTACTTATCTCTTGCTAGAGACTCTGTCTTTACAGAGTTAGTAGTATCATTTGAGGCGTTATTCTAAGTCTTCTTCAGTACCCTATGAATAAAGAATTGGCTACATTCAGTCCTGCCCAAAATGATTTGCCTGCACACAGTGGAGAAGTTTTACCATGTTTAGGTGGTATGTTTCCAGTTAAATAATTTTATATTGCTATTTAAGTTGTATGTGTTGGTCTGATTCTTTTAAAAGTAATATACAGCCTTATAGAAATCCACTGTGAGGTCTGCTTTGTGTCTTTCTCAGAGCATGAGATACCTTAAGCCTGGCTGCTATGAGAGAGGGAAATGAAAGCAGTTTTTGTTTTGTTTTGAGCTATACTGTAGCTTTTTCTTCTTTAAATGACTTGCAGTGTTTTCTTTGTTTACATTCTTTAGAGGTTCAGTTTTCATACTTAATGATTTGTCATCTTAGTTAGTGATAACTGTCACCCTTACATTCCATGTTTTAGAAATCACTTTTTTAGTGACTTGCCTCA